GGTTGCCAATACCAAGACTCCCATCTTTTTTTGAGCTAAGACATGATCCCAGCAAACCCAATGCATACATCTCGCATCTAAGTCAGCTCCACAAAAAAAAATCTAGTATGAAGAGACTCTAAGGTGTTAATAATAGAAATCGGGACCATGAAGATAGACATCAAGTAACTCCCAAGACTTCCAAGAACCGATTTGATTAAAGAAAGACGGCCTCCAGAAGAAAGAGATTTGGCTTTCCAACCCGAGAGTTTAGACCGAAAACGATCAACAACCGAAGACCAAGCAGCAATCTGAGACATGTTCTTGCCAACCGGGATACCAAGATGAATAAATGGGCAAGAGTCAAGAGCACACCCAACCTTACGAGCCGCCACCTCCACCTGATACAAAGGAACTCCCACTCCAATCAACTTACATTTTTGAAGGATGATTTTTAGCCCCTAAGCTAAATAAAAGCACCGCAGGATACGTATGATTTGGGAAACATTTCTCGGGTCCCAATTCGATAGCAAAACATCATCAGCACAAAACAAGTGTGAGATGTCAATCCCACTAATAGAGATGCCTCAGAAAATATTTGCATTGTGAGCTTTCCGTAAAGTAACATGTAGTCCTTCCATAACCATAATAAATAAAAAGGTGACAATGGGTCACCTTGACGTAGGCCACGTTGGATTTGAAATTCATCAGTGGGAGACCCATTAACAAGAACCGAAGCCCTAGCAGAACTGAGAAGCTCCATAATCCAATCACACCACAATTTACCAAATCCCATAATCTGCATAATCTCCAAAAGATACTCCCACGAAACGGAATCAAAGGCCTTCTCAAAATCCACTTTAATAATCATAAGTGGATTGTTCGTGGATTTACTCCAAGCCACAACCTCATTAAGAAAGAAAGGTCCATCCAAGATTTGTCTACCTCTAACAAAAGCAGACTGCTCCAGGCTAATAATAGAACCAATAACCTCTGACAACCTATTAGCTAATAATTTACCAATAATTTTATATTGACACCCTATTAAACTGATAGGTCGAAAATCTTTGATGTTCTTAGGATCACGAACTTTGGGGATGACCGTAAAGAAAGAAGCATTACAACCCTTTGGGATTGAGTAATGACCATGAAAATGTTGAACGAAAGCCACCAAATCATCAGAAATAAGATCCCAATATCTTTTCAGAAAGCCAAAAGAAAAACCATCCGGCCTAGGAGCCCGATCAGAACCACAATCCCAAAAAGCCCTTTTAATTTCATCTCGAGTGAAGGGAGCTTGAAGAAAAAGAACTTGATCATCCGTGAGGGTATTAAATAATTTGGAATCAGTACTAGGTCGCCTTCCTTTTTTCTTCAAGAAAAGGCTTTTATAATATTTTTGGAACTCCTTCTTAACCTTCCCAGGGTCATCCTCCCAAACACCGTCAATCATGATACCCCTTATGGCAAGATGGCGCCTCTTCCGATTAATAGTACTATGGAAAAAACCAGAGTTCTCGTCCCCTTCAATGGCCCATTGAATCTTCGCTTTCTGAATCAGGTCAATTCTAGAAAGATGATCTAAATCAGTCATTTCTTTTATACCCGAAACTCTTTGTTCATGAAGATCAATACTACCCCCATCTAGCATTAAAGAAGCATCGATCTCTTCGACTTTGTCTTGAAGGATTTTCCTTTTGCTAGCTAAACGATCACAAGCACTAGAGTTTCATTGTCGTAAATTAGATTTGATAAGTTGGAGTTTTTTTTTAAAAAAGTAACCCAAGGATTATCAATCCCATTCTGAACAATATTAGATTTCCAAGAATTAAGAACCACATCATCAAAAACATCGTGCTCAAACTAGGAATGAAATATACGAAAAAGAGATGGACCATAATCCACCCGATGGTCTAATAAGACAATAGATCGAGAATATTTTTCTTTAGAACTAAACCTATAATATGAGGAAAACACTGTAAAAGACCTTTGGTGACCAGAAAACGATCCAACTTGGAAAACATAGAGCCCTATTTGTCACTCCATGTATAACGTGCCCCCCCCCCCCCCCATAGGAATGTCAAATAAATCGGCCTTGGCAATAAATTGATTGAATATTCTAGCAGGAGTGTGATCAAACTAGGAACCAAACCTTTCCGACTCGCTTATAACTTCATTAAAATCCCCCATGACTACACATTCACTAGGGAAGGAAGAAATCAAGCTAGAGAGCTGGTCCCACAGTTGTCTTTTACAATCATCTCTTTGGGGAGCATAGACAGAGATCAGCAAAACATCCATTCTAGAGATAGCCCAAACCCCCTCCACCGCCACATACCAATCCGAGATGGATACTGTAACGCCCGTAGATCTGGGCTAGTCAATTTAGAGACGATAAGCATCAAAAATGACTTTTTTATGGAAGATTATTTAGAAGGATTAATCTTAACCAAGTTTTAGTATATGTCACAAGGTTTCCGTTCATATAAAGAACGCCAAAATCCAAGTTATAACGAAGAAGTTACGACCTGTCGAAGTTTCACGACAGAACCGGCATGACCCAGTGCGACCCAGTGCGACCCAGCGCGACGTAAATAGTGAATCTAAGGTAGATAGATATCTATCCTTAATGATCTAAACGAGAGTCGAAGATGTCTTCGATAGTATTCCGACGATAAAAAGACAGACGAAAATGGAGTTCAGGTGAAGGAGTTATGAATTTCGAACGAAATTTTCCTGTCCCGGCCTACTAAAGATAATATATAAGTAATATACTTATAATATATTAAAAATAAAGTCAAAATTAGCCAATGGAGTCTAAACGAGAGTTATAGATCATAATCTTACCTTCGCGTCGATATAAAGAACGTCGAAAACGGAGTTCGTATGCGAAAGTTATGAATTTCTGAAGTTCGGGGCGCGAACCCCAAAGTTGTGTCAGAGACCACGACGTGGCAAGAAGTGCCACGATGTGGCAAGTCTCCTGACACCTCCAGGAGTCCCCCAGATGCAACTTGGGATGACGCATGCAGTGACGATCAAGCCTACGATGTGGAAAAGGCCAGTTTTGCCCTATAAATAAATTTGAAGGGACAGCCAAGTTTGGTTGCTCATTCTCTCATCTCTCTCCAATATTACATCGTTTTAGGTGCAATTTTAACCCCCGAAGCCCCGGTATCAACCCCGAGACCCGAAGCAAGTCCCGAAGCCCGAAGATCCCAAGAAGAGAAGAGTTTTCGAGCCGAAGCTCTGCCCGCGAGAAACTAGGTGTGTGAAGTGATCCCGGTTTCACCGAAGAATACTACTTCTACAAGTCGTAGTGCTATCCGATCATCTTCTGATCAAGTGAGGGTATAGTCACTTTCATCTTACACATAGATATGAAGTATTTTATAAAATACGTGTTATGTGTATATATATTGTTGTTTGTACGTGTGAGTATGTGATCACTTTCTTCTAACATATATATATATATATATATATATATATATATATATATATATATTAAGTATTTGCTATGAAATACGTGCTATGTGTTTATATATTGTTGTTTATTTGAGATGAGTGTGGAATGGATGTTTTATATAGGTATTAAATGAGTTAATATGTATATGTATTTTATATCTACAAATATGTTGGGTAGAACATGGGTAGATGAATTAGATGATGTGTGATGATAATTAGGTGATGATAAATAGGTGATGATAATTAGGTGATGAGAAATAGGTGATTATAGAAAGGTGATGATAGATAGGTGATGATAAATAGGTGATGTGAGATGCGAGGAGATACCATAACCTTGACCGGCGATGTGGCAATTTGACGATGTAGTCATCTACCAGAGTATAGATGGCGACCACGGACTATTCTAGATGACCATGTGGAAACACCAGTAGGCTCATAACCTGTAGGTGATGAATTACGAGTCTAGGCGATGTTGTGGCTACGTATTCATGCGATGATACTCTAACCCTTACTATGAATTATGAGTCCAGACGATGTTGTGGCTACGTATTCATGCGATGATAGACTAACCCTTACTATGAATTACGAGTCCAGGCGATGTTGTGGCTACATATTCATGCGATGATAGTCTAACCCTTATTATGATCTACGAGTCCAGTCGATGTTGTGGCTGCGTAATCATGCGATGATACCCTAACCCTTACTAGACATATATTAAGGGATTGATCCCCGAATTAGTATTGTCTATGTAATGTAGGCGATGATCCTTAGGAAAAGTTCTTAGGAACAAGCATATAAGGATATAAGATGTAAGGAGATGAGCGGTAAATATGATTTAGGAAATGACCCTTAGGATAATATCTTTAGGGAAGATTAAAAGAATATAATGGGGATGGGTAATTGAGTTGATTGTTTGATAATTAAATATAATAATTATATTATTGTGGGTTGAAAACCCTATATGCTCACCAGGCTCCCAAGCCTGACCCACTCAGTTTAATTGTATCACAGGTATCGATACGAAGCTGCTTTGCATTGAGAGATTAAAGGAGATGTAAATCACTAGAGTAAATAAATGTATGTTCTGTTTATGCTTATGTGTCTGTATCGGAACATGACATCTCGAGGTTTTATTATTTAATGAAAATACATTCTCTTTAAGAAATGTTTTGATAAGTTTTTATCATATCTTGTTTTGGGAACAAATTCCGCAACCGTTTTCTTTAAATGAATACTCTGATTTGTAAAACAAAGCATAAATAAATCGGTCTTTTCTGGCCGTGAAATTGGGGATGTCACAGATACTTTACTGTGCATAAATGTATTCGGGTCCCAGACAACCAAAATACCACCCGAAGCACCATGAGAAGGAGAAAATGCATGAGAGAAAGCAAGGTTACCCCAAAAAGAACGAACAAGAGAAAGATCAATTAACTACTTCTTCGTTTCTTGAATAGCTAGGAAATTAACTTTAAATTTGCTACAGATATTTTTTATCCACACCCGTTTGTCAGTGGATCCCGCTCCTTGAATATTAATAGATAAACAGTTCATAACTAGATTTTATTAACCCGCTCCTCATGAATAGTATTTTTAACATGCTCAAGACAACTATTCATATTTAAGCCAATACTTCCTCCTAGAGCTACTGTTTTTCCGGATTCGACCTCAATTGAGGCCGTGCTGAAAGAACCTTTTGAGAAGGCATCATTCTCTCCATATTTCATATTTGAAAATCCAGGTGGGTGAGATAAAGATTCGTTTGTGGATGGAATGCCCGACATGCAAGTATATCCACCTGAGAAACCAATCGGAATTTGTGTTTTAAATTGTTCTGTTCCAGTTTGAGAAGACTCTGAATCATCAAAATGAACTGGAATTTTGGGGGTAGTAGCTGTCGAACTGGAGGAGACAGCAGAAGCTGCTTGCAATTCAATAGCAACAGCAGCACAGGCGATCAGATCTATCTCTGCAGCAGTAGGGTGGCCAACAGCAGGTCCAGGGATATCAGATAGGCGAACCTGGGAGGCAGCACGAGTATTAGAATTATTATGTTCCACAGGAGAGTGAGGAAAGGCCATGCCCATATCAAAATTCCCATTTTGCCCCTGAGTGCTCTCTCTATTATTATTAAATTTTTTCCCATTTCCCCAATTATTAAAACCTTTATGAATTTCATTGTTGGCCTCATCCTTTTTCATTTTTTCGATAGCATCATAGATGCCAAAAGGATCCAATGAAACCTCCTCATTCCTTTCAGAGAAATAAGAGTTGACTTCATTTTGTTCACTGTCTTGCAATTCACTCTCGGTCAGATCAGCAACAGGAAAGTCGTGAACAAAGGATGGAGTCCATCCCAGGGCTTCTTTTACCCGAATATAATGTATAATCCCATCTACACGGACTTTTATTACCTCTGAAATGATAGTTTTTATGGTTGTAAGAATACAAACTCTATTCTTAAAAATGTCTTCTCCCAGATCATCGTCTAACTGTGCTATTGTTCCCCATTTTGAAAGAATTTTTCTAAATGGGTCTTTACTCCAAGTTGAAAGTGGTACTCCTTCAACATCCACCCACACTACACGTTTTGATGGAACAAAAGTTCTATCCCATGCTCTCTTTTCTAAAATCCAATGATTTATAGCTTGATTGCTCATAAAATTATTGCATGCATTCTTGGTAGTGAATTCAATTAGCACCCATAAACCTCCAACGTATTTCATCTCAAAATTATCAAATCCCTCATCTAAACATAGCACCCTAAGATTAGGAAGAGTAGAAAAATATCTTTCCTTAACAAGGCATGCCCTTTGTCTTTGTTCAACTATGAAATCTCCGGAAAAAAGGTCAATAATCTCCTCCGTAGTAGAATTGTTACTAATATTATTAGTAAGGCCTCGGACAACATTAGCATAGGATTTCACGTTGAATCTATGATGGAATGTTGTGGGGAGTCCAGTAGATTGGAAGGCATGATTATTATTGTGCAGGGATCGAGGGAGGGAAGCAAAAAATTTATATGAACCAAACCAAACTTCACGAAGTTGTTTGATCAAAGAGTCACAATTACCGACATTTGTAAACCTAATGAAACCAAATCGTTTCCCCACTTTTGATAATCTGTTAGCGATAACCACCCCTACTATTTTACCCAACCGAATACAGGCTCGACCACATACCCTCTTGATATCTCCGACTTTTACAGAGTCCGGAAAATTAGTGATGAAGAGTGATGTTATGTCAGACCTTACATGACTAGTTAATGGTTTGTGGCTGCTGTGTTGATCTCGATCACTACCATGCATGTTCGTTTTCCTGTTCTGGTGACCGACAGTCGTCCAATCGTTGGTGCCCATCTTGAAGTGATCTTGATTTCACCGGCGTTTGATCCCGCCGGCGATGCTAATTTGAAAGACCGTGAATTTCGATGGATAATTATTTTTTCGTTTTGTTCACATTTTGATAACTTTTTTTTTCGTAGACATCTAAGTAACGAACTTGTTCGAAGTGTTTACATATAACCATTATGACCAGTTGTAGCAAGTTACAATTAGTCATAATTGTTACATGTGAACACTTCCAACAAGATCGTTACCTAGATGTGTATAAAAAAAGTTATCTAAATATGAACAAAACGAAAATGTAATTGTTTGAAATTCTTTCATTAAACCATAAGTTCCCAATTTATACTTGGATTTTTTTGTTACAATCAAACACGGTAACTCTTAAATAAAGAAGAAAATTTTACATAGACGTAGCGGGTAAACGAGCAACAAGCTATGTCGCAACCCTTTTTGGATGGCAAAACAAATTCTTGTAAAAACAACATCTATAGATCTTGGAGTCATAACATTACTATACATGACCCGTTGGACTCTATTGAGTAGCTCTATAGCTTTTGGCACAAGGAAACCTAAAATATAAAATGCAAAGAGTATAAACATGTGTTGATCTTCCATGCACGCTTTTCTCATGTTTTACCACTTTGCTTGATGTAGCTTTTAAAGTAGCTTGCCCGTAAGAACCCCACTCCCCAAGCCCACAAGAAGGGAAACCCCTGTTAGATCCACACATGCATGTTTTCCTCCAGCCCATCCAAACACTAAAACATTAGTTGGTCTAAGAGTTGATATTCCTTCTAATGGAGCAGTCAGAAAGTTCGCAGGTGCCTCTTTATTGGCAGAAACCCCAACGCGCCTAAATATGTCGAAAAGAACATCTCTAACCAGATTGTGCCGGTACTTGAAACCCGGGAGCTCTTTACAATGAACTGCATGCCCCTCGAAGGAGTCCAAGCATTCCTTGCGACAAACACGGCAAGTCTTGTTAGTCGGAAATAAAGGGATCAAAAGGCGATACTTGAGGATGACACTATACTCCAATGGCGACATATGCTAGCCAAGACCGTTGATAGGAATAGTCATAAGAAAATATTGAGCATGTGGGACCCTTAGACTGTAACATCCAGACTTCTAGGTATATTGTTTATTTATTTATTTTGTGGATTGTGGAGCAAATCGACGACTTGGTGCTACAACTCGTCGAGTAGAGTCGGGTTGTGCCACGTGGGATTAATGATCTACTCGACAAGTCAGAGAGCAGACTCGCCAAGTAGATGCTGTGGAGAGAAACCTTAAATCCCCGGGTTTAGGGCCTATTTAAGGGCACTTATAGCCTCATTTGCGGCTCATTAGCTGCTTTCCTTCACTAAGAGAAACCATAATCGCCCTTTGAGCTAATAGAGAGAGTGTGTGAGTTAACATTGAGTATTTTGTTGCATCTTTGGAAGAGAAGAGAAGGATTTCAAGCAAGGAACAAGAGAAGGCTGTTAGATATGTTGTTATTCATCCAAGAGCTTCTGTAAAAGGTATAAAGTTTGTACCTTTTTCATTAGTTTGGGTAGATCTCATATTATTGGAGTTTAGGGCTTCTTTTCTATCTAATATTAGGACTTTGAGTGTTTAACGCACATATGGAGATTTGGACATCATATTTGGACCTTGTGAGGTCCTTAGAGTCCAAAGATCCCTGCTTTATTCAGCCATAATGAGCCTTGAGTGAAAAACCCTTAATAGAGCATGTTTTTGGCATTTCAAGCCCTAAGTGTCATGCATGAACGTAAAGCTTGTGACTTTACGTGATAAGCAAGCCTTGAGAGCTTAGGTCTACAGTGTGAGAGGGTTTCCTGCCTTGAAATCGTCTGTTTAAGACATGGGTCTGAATGGACTCATAGAGTCGATGAGACGACTCGACGAGTCAGTTAGGGTTTTGTCCTGATGAGTTGGCCATGCTATAGCTCGGCGAGTTAGGGGTTAACTCGACGAGCTGGACCTTCACGAAGACTTCTGAGGGATGAGTGGACTTGACAAGGCAGGTCAAACTTAGACTGTTGACTCGAGTTTGACTTATGTTGACTTTAGGGTTTGGTCAACATGAGTAATGGAGACCATGGAGGGGAAAAATGGTATTTTACCCATTCCAAGAATTTGAGAGAAAGAGAGTGCAACCTTTGGTGTATTTGAGTATGAATAGAGTATGTGACAACCATCAAATTCTGGTCAAGTCAAAGTCAACGGGTCAAACCGATAAACTCATTTAGAACTTGTATGATAGGGTATATTCTATGTTTTCTAAAGTACAACTTTCTATCATAATACAAAGTATCACTCAGAGGTTTCAAATGTTCAGAAATTCTAAACCCTAACCAGGGTGAGTGATGTAATGACTTTAAAATGCACTATTAAGCACCTTCGGGGGTGTAAAACACTAATTCTAAAATATAAAACCAAAATCTTATCATATTAGAGTTAGAATAATATTTTTCTTGTTGATAGCTTGATCTTAACCTTCAAGAGCTTAGTGCCTCAAGCGTTACACCTCTAATGGAGTCACAAACACCACTTAGCAAAGGATGAAGGATAGAGAGGTGATGGAGGCTTTTTGATTTCGGCTAAGGTTCTCTAAGAATGCATATCGCCGAAAACTATAAGCCATGGGTTCTATGTATAGCTGAGGCTGCTGGGGTTTTAGGTGGAAACCCTAATTCTTTGCTTAAGCCTTAAGCAGTCTATGAATACCTTCTAGAAGGCCCCTTGGACGGAATATTCTATGGGCTTCCCATAGATTTCGTTCACTCCTTCTTTTAGGAGTCCATCAGCCCAACTTGCGACTGTTAATGATTTGCAATATCAGTCCCTTTAACTTGAATCAGTTTCTTTTGATCACTAAACTAATTCTAGATTAATTTCTGATCAATACTAATTAAATAATATGATTTCTCAATTAATATATTATTCTTATAATATATTAATAAACGATTAATCAACCTCTTTTTCCATAAGTCACATGTCAAGTTGCTATGGTGAAGGCAACCCAAAAGGACCATGCTACTATCGGATCAAGTACATCCTATTTATAGTTATAGGCTTAGACACATGATCCCACACTCTCCTAGATCGGGATAAAATGTGCACTCTTGGGTAACCAATCCAAGATGACCCAGATAGAATCTACCCCTCGTGCGGTCCTGGGTAGCTTTGTGATGAAATCCCTAGTGATGTCTTCCCATTTCCACACAGGAATCTCCAATGTCTGAATCTTGTCATGAGGTTGCTGATGCTCAGCCTTGACTTTCCTGCAAGTCAAGCACCGCTCCACAAACCAAGCTATATCCCGCTTCATGCAGGGCCACCAATAATCAGGGCGAAGATCCTGATACATCTTCGTCGCCCCGAGATGAATGGAGAATCTCGACCTGTGAGTCTCCTCCATTAGGACCTGGCGCACACTTCCCCAGTAAGGAACCCAGACCCTATGATGCAGGATCAACAATTAACGACTATCATAGTCGAATGAAGCCACATTCCCTATGATCCGCTCACACTTTCGGTGCTCCTCCTTCATACCCTCGACCTGAGCCTCCCGAATATGCTCCAGTAGTGGAGTAATCACTGTCATCCTTAGGCATATATCCCAAATCGGAGTTGCAACTTCCTTAAGGCTAAGAACATCGGCCACCACATTGGCCTTCCCCGGGTGATAAAGGATCTCACAATCATAATCCTTCACCACGTCCAACCAACGATGTTGCCTCATGTTTAGATTATGTTGGTCCATCAGATACCTCAAACCCTTGCGGTATGTGTAAATGGTACATCGAACCCTGTAGAGGTAGTGTTGCAAATATATTGAAGGCAACAACAACTGCCCCCAACTCCAGGTCATGTGTCGGGTAATTCGCCTCGTGAGGCTTTAGCTACCTCGAGGCGTAAGAGATGACGCGCCCTCTCCGCATCAATATTGTGCCTAAGCTCGTGATAGACATGTCACAATACACTATGAAATCCTCAACTCCCTATGGCAGAGTCAATATCGGTGTATCGTACAACTTTTTCCTCAAAGCCGCCTGCTGCTCAGGTCCCCAACGGAATGTCACCGACTTCTTGGTCAGTCGGGTCAGTGGAACAACAATCTTGGAGAAATCCTAGATGAATCTCTAAAAATAACCTGCCAGACTAAGAAAACTATGAATCTTAGATGGAGACCTCAAAACCTCCCATCTCATTATGGCCTCTACCTTGGTCAAATCGACTAATATACCTTGGCCTCTACCTACCTTTCCGGAGGCACCCCCCGACAAATCCTCCAGGACCACGTTCGGGTACTCCCGTACGATTGGTATGACGTGCACGGTCGCCTTACCCTTCTCACAGGTATCCATGATATAGGCGACATAACCTTCACAAACCTGCTGAAGGTAGAGTCTCGCCCTCGCTGCTGAACACATAACCGGTCCACGTTGCGGTCTCTCACCCTGAATCACCAATTGTCCCCCACTTGGGGTCCTAACCCAAACTAATTGTTGCTTATAGTTGATCACCTCCCCATTAGGGCTCAACCAATTCATACCTATGATGACCTTATTCTCTTGCAGAGGAATAGGAACCAAATCCACGAGATAGCACTTGCCACACATCCTCAATACACAATCTGTGTAAACCTCTGTTGTTGGAACAGATCGGTCGTATGCAATCTCTACCTCTAAAGGATAATCCAACATGCTCGTAGACTCGGCAAACCTCTTGCTAAGTGCAAGAGATCCAAACGATTGAGTATCCCCCAAGTCAAATAATACTAGCACTGGGATACCGTTCACATGGAACGATCCTAAAACAAGATATATGGAACATAAATATTGAAATTGACATATAATAAAAACTAGGGAGGATAAACATACCCATCACCACTTCTGGTGTGACGCACGCCTCCTCAGCGGTCAGCTGGAAGGCTTGGCTCCTCACCACAGGAGCATTTGACTTGTCCTGGCGGCCATCTATGATCCGCAGGGTCGCTAGAG